AGATCTGCCTTATTTTAATGGGGATCCTAAAGATTGGATGATTTTTATTAACACTTTTGAAACTTCAACACAAGAATATCAATTTTCTAATCTCGAAAATGTGATGCGACTTCAAAATGCATTAAAGGGTCCAGCACGTGACAAAGTACATTTTTTACTAATGAATCCTGAAAATGTTCCTCGAATAATTGAGTTACTTCGTGAACGATATGGAAAGCCGCAATACATTATTGAAASTTTAATTTACCGAGTGAAGAGCTTGCCACCACCATCTGTTGAAAAATTGACTTCAGTCATAGAATTTGCAGATGAAGTTGAAAATCTAGCAGTAATGATGGAAAATCTGAAATCCGATATACATATTCAAAATCCTATCTTGATAAACGAATTGGTACAAAAACTGCCTTCTTCATTACGTCTCCAATGGGCTACAACGGTGAGCGATCAAGAAAAAACAACATTATCTGGATTAGCAAAATGGTTAAGTAGTTTGGCTCGTTCATTGGGATGGATCACTAGACCAAGTGAATTTTTTAGAAGAAAAACGTATGGCGTACATACAASTAATGAAGATACAGAAAGAAGCTATACAAATGATTATTCAAGAAAGAAAGAATGTGGATTTTGCAAAAAATTGGGCCATGAAACTAAAGATTGCAAAGGAATTTTGAAAATCGACCCGCAAAGGCGAATTCAATGGGCTAAAAAGAATGGAGTCTGCTTCAGGTGTGTCAAAACTGGGCACATTATTAAGAACTGCACAAGTAAAACGACCTGTCAGATTGACAAATGCAATTCAACTCATCATGAAATGTTTCATATCAAAAAGAGGACTGAAAATTCAAATTACGTTGATAAACAAACATTATTGAAGGAAGAAAAAACAAATAGTGTACACATCATAAATGAGTGCGAGAGAAAAACTGTTTTACTACGGATACTACCTGTCAAGATTTATGGACCAAAGGGATGTTTGAAAACGTATGCTTTTCTAGACGACGGTGCAACAGTTACCATGATGAATGCAGATATTGCTGAAAAAATTGGTGTTACTGGAAGAAAAGATCCTTTAAGATGGCGAGGTGCAAACAATRTTTCCAGTAAAGAAGAAAATTCAAGACGTGTTTCCATAAAAATATCTGGTGTAAATGAACACGACAAACAATTTTATGTCAAAAACGTAAGAACTGTCAAGAATTTATCTATTCAGCCACAATCAGTAAACATTRAAAAACTAAAAAAGGACTGGCAGCATCTACAAAATATTCCAGTCTCAACAATGGAAAACGTAACTCCAACAATCTTAATTGGTTCAGATAATTGGTCATTAAGTATATCCCGATCAGTAGCAAGAGGACCTGCTTATGGACCAGTTGCAACAAGAACAGCTCTTGGTTGGGTTATTTATGGAATAATTCCGGGAACAGAAATCTCAACTATTCATCATATACAAGAAACTGAAGAATATACGTTAGAAGAAATAAATCAAATGATGAAGGACAGTTGGAAAACTGAAACATTTGGTGTCGTCATCAAGAAAGAAAATCTGAGATCAAGAGAGGATCAAAAAGCTCAAAAAATTTTGGAAGAAACAACGAAAAGAATCTCAAATAACAAGTATGAAACTGGACTGTTATGGAAAGACGTAAATTTAAAGCTACCTAGTAGTAGGACAACTGCTTTGAAAATATTGTGGAGTGTAGAACGCAGTTTGGACCGAGATTCTAAGTACGCAGCAGAATATTGCAAGAAAATGCAAGAATACGTAGATAAGGGTTATGCAAGAGAATTAAGACCCGAGGAAGACAAAGAATCAGACCTGAAATCGTGGTATCTTCCTCATTTTGGAGTAAAAAATCCAAATAAACCCGGAAAATTGAGAATTGTTTTTGATGCAGCAGCACAATCAAATGGACAATCATTAAATAGTTTTCTTCTTCCTGGTCCTGATCTATACAACAATTTAATTGGTGTTTTATACAAGTTTCGTCAGTATAAAGTAGCCTTTGCGGCTGATATAAAAAAAATGTTTCCGCAAGTTAAAATTAAAGCAACAGACGCCGTAGCGCAGAAGTTTTTATGGAGAGGAATGGATCGAGTTAAACCACCAAAAACTTATCAAATGGATTCCATGATATTTGGTGCAGTTTGTTCTCCAACATCAGCTCAATATGTAAAGAATATTAACGCTGAACAATTTGCTAAAGAATTTCCAGTTGCCTCAAATGCAATAATACACCAACATTATATGGATGACTATTTAGATTCGTGTTGCACACGGAGGGAGGGAATGGAGAAGATTGAACAAGTGATAAAAATTCATAAAGCTGGAGGATTTACTATCTGCAACTGGGTAGCAAACGACCCTGAGGTTTTACAACAAGTTTCGGCAGAACTGAAAGCAAAATCTATGCCAGAAAAGAATTTAGAGTGGAATGAAGACTCTGTAGAACGTGTTTTAGGAGTTTATTGGAAGCCGAAGGAAGATATATTTTCATTTAATGTAAAATTTCACAAAGTGAAACCTGAAATATTAGAAGGGATAAAAATCCCGAGTAAGAGACAAGTACTTGGATTGGTTTCTTCAGTGTTCGATCCTTTGGGCTTTTTAGCACATTTTATTATCCATATGAAGGTGTTACTTCAAGACATTTGGAGGAGTGGCATTGGATGGGATGATGAAATATCTGATGAACATTTCGTAAGATGGAAATTATGGTTAAATGAATTAAAGAAAACTCAGTTAGTGAGAATTAACAGATGCTATTTTTCATTACTGGGAGAAATAGAAGCTGTAAATTTACATATATTTTGTGATGCCAGTGAGAAGGCTTTCGCGGCTGTAGCATACTTTGTTGCTGAAAACAAAACTGCTTTCGTCATGGGAAGATCAAGGGTGGCTCCACTGAAACAGCAAACAATTCCACGTTTGGAACTTCAAGCAGCCGTCATGGGTTGTAGATTGGCAAAATTGATTRAWAAGGAACATTCYTAMAAAAWTTCAAGAACATACTTTTGGAGCGATTCTAAAACAGTATTGGCTTGGATTCGTGCTGAACGAAAAAGGTTTCARTCGTTTRTGGCTCATCGTGTAGGCGAAATTATTGAAAACTCGGAAGTAGCAGATTGGCGCTGGGTTCCGTCTGCACAGAATGTAGCCGATGAAGCAACAAAATGGACAAAGACACCCGATTTGCATTTTGATTGTCGATGGTTTCAAGGTCCAGAATTTTTGAAACACACTGAAGATAATTGGCCAATTGAAAATGAAAAAGAACAACCAACAATTAAAGATTTAGAAACTATTTCTACAATACAATTAATTGAGGTTTCAAACAACAATTTACCAGACGTTGGAAGATTCTCAAAACATGAGAGATTTTTAAGGGCAACAGCTTGGGTTCTAAGAATAATTAGAAAATTTTTATTGAAGATAGAACACAAATCGACGCATTACTTTCTGCAGGGTGAAGTAAATGTTGAAAATTATTTAATCGCAGAGGAAATTATGATAGCAAAGTTGTTTATTTGGAGAGAGGTACAGTTAAAAAGTTTTGGGCCGGAAATGACAGCTTTATCAAATCTGACAGAAATTTCAAAAAGTAGTAGCTTACTTCAACTTACGCCGTTCTTGGACAATTATGGTGTTATGAGAATGTCTGGTAGAGGAATTGATCAAACTAAAAAAGTAATTTTACCTAAAGACAACGTATATACAAGATTATTGGTAGAGCAATATCACAGAGAAGCTAATCATCAGGGAAGCGAATTGGTAGTAAATCGTCTTAGAGAAGATTTCTGGATCCCAAAAATTCGTGTGCTATTACGAGGAGTAGTTAATAGATGTCAATTCTGCAAAAATAAGAAAATTATAGCTAAACCTCCTTTAATGGGAGATTTACCAAAGAAACGAACTGAACCGCAAGTGGCTGCATTTACACATACAGGTGTTGATTACTTTGGTGCGATGGACGTCACAATTGGAAGAAGACATGAAAAGCGGTACGGCGTGTTGTTTACCTGTTTAAATGTAAGAGCGGTACATATTGAATTGGCGCATACACTAACCACGGATTCAGCAATTAT